AACACAGAAACAAAACCATCCAAACATAGATGGTAAGGTTAGCAAAATATAAAGCTGTTCTTTCTTCGTGATATCGCAGCAACCGCAGCACAGGTAGAACGAGGAACACTTTGTGCAACTTTGCGCTGAAGTATATGCCGACAATTGATGACGAATGAGGATGCAGTGCGAGGCATTACATTTCAATAGGCCGCGAAGTGCATGCTCTGAATTCGATAATTCAGAGCAACGGATAAAATAGCTGAGAGCGCTACTGATTTGAATGATTGCTAGTCATTATCAAGGAATATTGTTCAGGACAAAAGTAACCATAAGGAAGTTTGGCTGGGGCTGAAATTTCGCATATGAAGAGAAGTAGAATTACCAATGCTAGGTAGAAAAATAATAGATGAACCGTGTCATAAACAAAGCGTAAGATTCATGATGTGCTTTGTGAAGAGGTTTAAGATTTGTTCCATGACCTCCTTATCAGCTTTATCAGATCAAGAACATGCCGCAACTTTTGTAAGCCATGAATTTTCAAACTTGACATGCGCCTGCCAGGCACATTAAAATATTGATATTCAATTATGTACTTTTACGTATTCTACTGAATTCAAAAACCTTGCAGCCCAGGTTTCGCATAGCAATGACTACTGTTTAGTAGTTGACGGTATCCAAAGTCGACCACCTGTACGTCAGTCGTACTGCCGAGAGTGTAGCACCGGTGGTAAATTGTATTAGGAAATACGTAATTTGCAATGGTAAGGTTTATATTAAAGGCGCAAATTTTACACTTGATCGTGTTTTCGTTTAGTCTACGACAGTGAACAAATCACCGGGTCGAACAGCGGCTTCCCGGGCCAGTGGCGGGACGCTGCGTCAGAGGTAACAGTGATTTGTAAGTTTGAGGGCGGCGATCAAGCCATTAAATTTCTTTCTTATCTGCTTGCTTAATTGAGCATCGTAACAAATTGTTTTTGACGAAGATACACTGATCTACTTATCCTTCAAGACTTGAAGTGTTTGTTTGTTGAGATCATCGTGAGCCACTTGCATTAGCACAACGCCTCTGGCTTGTAATATCCGCTTTATCCACAGCTTTTCAGCACTTCTGCTACAAGGCACAGGTTACTACAGTGTATGAGAAACAATTGCTCTCCGAAAGCAGATCAGCTTCTACGTTCTAGCTCCGTGTTGTATGCTGTCTTTTTGGTTAGCGTTTGTCATGTTTCGACTCTTACACGAGAAGCTCATAGTCAGGAGTAAATCGTGTTTGTTCAACCAGTTTACCTAACAGGGCCAATATGCGTTTTTTTAATCTACACATTCACGGGTGTTACTTGTGCCGTTTAGCGAATGACTTGACGGATGCAAAGTGCGAGCAGATTTTAGTGGAAAGAATTGGAGAGGTTTCTAAAAGCACTAGAGGCTATGGCGATTCTCCTGTTTAATTCTGGCTGAATT